GGGAAGACGCGGGGTGATGGAAGACGAGGGGTGATGGGAAGACGAGGGGTGATGGGAAGACGCGGGGTGATGGGAAGACGCGGGGTGAAGAAACGGGGTGATGGGAAGACATGGGATGCTGGGAAGACGCGGGATGCTGGGAAGACGCAGGGGGAAGACGCGGGGGGCTGGGAAGACGCGGGGGGCTGGGAAGACGCGGTGATGGGAAGACGCTGGGGGGATGGGAAATAAGACGCTGGGGGATGGGAAGACACGGGGTGGGAAGACGCAGAGTGATGGGAAGATGCGGGGTGATGGGAAGACGAGGGGTGATGGGAGACGCGGGGTGCTGGGAAGACGCGGGGTGCTGGGAAGACGCGGGGTGATGGGAAGACGAGGGGTGATGGGAAGACGAGGGGTGATGGGAAGACGCGGGGTGAAGAAACGGGGTGATGGGAAGACAAGGGGTGATGGGACGACGCGGGATGCTGGGAAGAGCGGGATGCTGGGAAGACGAGGGGTGATGGGAAGATGAGGGTGATGGGAAGACGAGGGTGAAGAAGCGGGGTGATGGGAAGAAGCGGGATGCTGGGAAGACGCAGGGTGAAGACGCGGGGGGCTGGGAAGACGCGGGGTGATGGGAAGACGCTGGGGGATGGGAAGACACGGGTGAAGACGCAGAGTGATGGGAAGCGGGTGATGGGAAGATGCGGGGTGATGGGAAGACGAGGGGTGATGGGAAGACGGGGGGGTGATGGGAAGACGAGGGGTGATGGGAAGAAGCGGGGGCTGGGAAGACGTGGGGGCTGGGAAGACGTGGGGTGATGATGGAAACGTAAGACGTGGGGTGATGGAAGACGTGGGGGGATGGGAAGACGTGGGGGGCTGGGAAGACGTGGGGGGCTGGGAAGACGCGGGGGCTGCGGGGGGAATGGGAAGACGCGGGGGGCTGGGAAGACGCGGGGGGATGGGAAGACGCGGGGGGATGGGAAGAAGCGGGGTGATGGAAGAAAGCGGGGTGCTGGGAAGAAGCGGGGTGCTGGGAAGAGCGCGGGTGCTGGGAAGAAGGGGGGCTGCGGATGGGGATAAGAAGATGTGGGGTGATGGGAAGACGTAAGGCTGGGGGGGATGGGAAGACGCGGGGGGCTGGGAAGACGCGGGGGGCTGGGAAGACGTGGGTGATGGGGTGATGGGAAGAACGCGGTTTGCTGGGAAGACGCGGGGTGATGGGAAGACGAGGGGGGGCTGGGAAGACGCGGGGGTGATGGGAAGACGAGGGGGGCTGGGAAGACGCGGGGGGGCTGGGAAAAACGTGGGGGGGGCTGGGAAGAGCGGTAAGATGCTGGAAAGAAGGGGATGATGGGAAGAGCGGGGGTGATGGGAAGACGCGGGGGTGATGGGAAGACGTGGGGGGCTGGGAAGACGCGGGGGGTGATGGGAAGACATGGGGGGCTGGGAAGACGTGGGGGTCGTGGGGGGATGGGAAGAAGCGGGGGGATGGGAAGACGCGGGGGGATGGGGAAGACGCGGGGGCTGGGAAGACGCGGGGGGATGGGAAGACATGCGGGGTGATGGGAAGACGTAAGACGGGGGGTGATGGGAAGACGCGAGGGGTGATGGGAAGACGCGGGGGATGGGAAGACGCGGGGGATGGGAAGACGCGGGGGGCTGGGGAAGACGTGGGGTGATGGGAATGTAAGACGTGGGGGGGATGGGAAGACGCGGGGTGATGGGAAGACGCGGGGTGATGGGAAGACGCGGGGGGTGATGGGAAGACGCGGGGTGATGGGAAGACGCGGGGGGATGGGAAGACGCGGGGGGCTGGGAAGACGCGGGGGGATGGGAAGAAGACGTGGGGGGATGGGAAAGACGCGGGGTGATGGGAAGACGCGGGGTGATGGGAAGAATGGGGGGCGTGAGCCGGGGGGCTGGGAAGACGCGGGGTGATGGGAAGACACGGGGGTGATGGGAAGACGCGGGGGGCTGGGAAGACGCGGGATGCTGGGAAGACGCGGGGGGATGGGAAGACGCGGGGTGCTGGAAGAAGAAAGGGGTGCTGGGAAGACGCGGGGGGGATGGGAAGACGTGGGATGCTGGGAAGCGGGGGGGTGATGGGAAGACGAGGGGGGCTGGGAAGACGCGGGGGGCTGGGAAGACGCGGGGGGATGGGAAGAAGCGGGATGCTGGGAAAGAAGCGGGTGATGAAGCCGGGGGGATGGGAAGACGCGGGGTGATGGGAAGACGCGGGGGTGGGATGGGAAGACGCGGGGGGATGGGAAGACGTGGGGGGATGGGAAGACGCGGGGATGCTGGATGTAAGACGAGGGGGGCTGGGAAGACGCGGGGTGATGGGAAGACATGGGGGGCTGGGAGGATGATGGGAAGACGTGGGGGGCTGGGGGGGAAGACGCGGGGTGGATGGGAAGACATGGGGGGGGTGGGAAGATGCGGGGGGATGGGAAGACGCGGGGGGGAGACGCGGGGATGGGAAGACGCGGTGGGGGCTGGGGCGTGGGGAAATGTAAGACGCGGGGGGATGGGAAGACGCGGGGTGATGGGAAGAGCGGGGGGATGGGAAGACGCGGGGGGGGAATGGGTGAAGACGCGGGGTGATGGGAAGACGGGGGGATGGGAAGGGAAGACGCAGGGGGGGGGTGACGCGGGGTGATGGGAAGACGCGGGGTGATGGGAAGACGCGGGGGGATGGGAAGACTGGGAAGAACGCGGGGGTGCTTGGGATGGGAAAGATGGGAAGACGGGGTGATGGGAAGACGGGGGGGTGTTGGGAAGACGCGGGGTGAATGGGGAAGAGACGCGGGAGGGCTGGGAAGACGCGGGGGATGGGAAGACGCGGGGGCTGGGAAGACGCGGGGTGATGGGAAGACGCGGGGGGCTGGGAAGACGCGGGGGGGATGGGAAGACGCGTGGGGGGATGGGAGGGTGATGGGAAGACGCGGGGGGGGGAAGACGCGCGGGGGTGATGGGAAGACGTGGGGTGATGGGGACGCTGGGAAGACGCGGGGTGATGGAAGAAGACGCGTGGGGGGCTGGGGGTGATGGGAAGACGCGGAAGAGGTGTGGGGCTGGGAAGACGCGGGGTGATGGGAAGACGCGGGGGGGGATGGGAAGACGCGGGGGGGATGGGAAGACGCGGGGGGATGGGAAGACGCGGGGTGATGGGAAGACGCGGGGGTGATGGGAAGACGCGGGGTGATGGGAAGACGCGGGGTGATGGGAAGACGCGGGGTGATGGGAAGACGCGGGGGGGGATGGGAAGACGCGGGGGGGTGATGGGAAGACGCGGGGGGGGAAGACGCGGGGTGATGGGAAGACGCGGAGGTGATGGGGAAGACGCGGGGGGATGGGAAGACGCGGGGGGATGGGAAGACGGGGGGGGATGGGAAGACGAGGGGTGATGGGAAGACGCGGGGGGCTGGGAAAGGATTGGGAAGACGCGGGGTGATGGGAAGACGCGGGGGGATGGGAAGACGCGGGGGGATGGGAAGACGCGGGGGATGAGAAGACGCGGGGGGATGGGAAGACGCTGGGGGGATGGGAAGACGCGGGGTGATGGGAAGACGCGGGGTGATGGGAAGACGCGGGGGGATGGGAAGACGCGGGGTGACGCGGGGGAAGACGCGGGGTGATGGGAAGACGCGGGGGCTGGGAAGACGCAGGGGGATGGGAAGACGCGGGGTGCTGGGAAGACGCGGGGTGCTGGGAAGACGCGGGGGGCTGGGAAGACGCGGGGTGATGGGAAGACGCGGAGGGCTGGGAAGACGCGGGGGTGATGGGAAGACGCGGAGGGCTGGGAAGACGCGGGGTGATGGGAAAGACGGGGGGGGTGGGAAGACGCGGGGGGATGGGAGACGAGGGGTGATGGGAAGACGCGGGGGGCTGGGAAGACGCGGGGTGATTGGACGGACTCGGTTTCCCGGATGCCAGCACCCCTCTAGATTGATCTCCGATTTCTGGGCTCAGGATGGAAGAGAACAGATGCGTTTGGAGCCGATGATTGCAGCATCTGGAAGACGTTTGTCCCATGAATGGCCGTCTATACTTCATGGAGAGATTATCTCCGAGATTCCCATGGAGGTCGGGCAGAGATGGGAATTCCGGAGGCTTTACGTGGGATTTTCCAGCAGGATTATCGCACGGCTGTCAGTGCTGAAAAGTAGCCGGTCCCACCGACAGGTAGTGCAGTGCTGCGATTGGGCGCTCCTCTATGTATCTGCCAGAACCACATGTTACAGCTGAAGTCTGCTCATATTTTCCCTTCCCCGGGATCCTCCCCCCTCCCCCCCCCCCCCCCCCCAACATATTGATGACATTTAAAGAAAAAAAAAAAAAACCTTTCATTTTCATTACATCCCTTATTTAAGACCATCACTGGATCCTTGTGCTTCTCTATGCAATACAAGCAGATCATGGCTGGTGGGAGGGGCTGTCACATAGCTCCCTGAAGACAGCTCAGCCCCCGCCTTCAGTACTACTCTCAGGAGCCCTCAGCCCTGAGTGATGTAAATATCAATATGCCTCCATGGGTGGGTTTCAGTCTGGGAGGAGTGGGTGTTGCTAAGCAGGCTGTATTTGCATAGGTAACGCCCACATGTGCTGCTGAGCCTCCATGATTGAAAGAACTGAAATCCAAGGGGCGGTGCCAGGGACAGTCAGGCTGGGAAGGAAAGTACTAGATGATGCTGGATGTCCTCCAGCCAGGAATTGAGGCGGAGCTCTATCTGACTTGTTGCAGCTTCTAATGCACATTATGAGAAGCTCACAGTGTGCGGTGATATCAGAGGAAGCCGATTCAGTCCAGGAGAAGAGCCGGTACACCTGTGCAAGACTGAAGGGGAGGAGCCGGTACACCTGCGCAAGACTGAAGGGGAGGAGCCGGTACACCTGTGCAAGACTGAAGGGGAGGAGCTGGTACACCTGTGCAAGACTGAAGGGGAGGAGCTGGTACACCTGTGCAAGACTGAAGGGGGGGAGCCGGTACACCTGTGCAAGACTGAGGGGAGGAGCCGGTACACCTGTGCAAGACTGAAGGGGAGGAGCCGATACACCTGTGCAAGACTGAAGGGGAGGAGCCGGTACACCTGTGCAAGACTGAAGGGGAGGAGCCGGTACACCTGTGCAAGACTGAGGGGGAGGAGCCGGTACACCTGTGCAAGACTGAGGGGAGGAGCCGGTACACCTGTGCAAGACTGAAGGGGAGGAGCCGATACACCTGTGCAAGACTGAAGGGGAGGAGCCGGTACACCTGTGCAAGACTGAAGGGGAGGAGCCGGTACACCTGTGCAAGACTGAGGGGAGGAGCCGGTACACCTGTGCAAGACTGAGGGGAGGAGCCGGTACACCTGTGCAAGACTGAAGGGGAGGAGCCGATACACCTGTGCAAGACTGAAGGGGAGGAGCCGGTACACCTGTGCAAGACTGAAGGGGAGGAGCCGGTACACCTGTGCAAGACTGAGGGGAGGAGCCGGTACACCTGTGCAAGACTGAAAGAGAGGAGCCGGTACACCTGTGCAAGACTGAAGGGGAGGAGCAGGTACACCTGTGCAAGACTGAAGGGGAGGAGCCGGTACACCTGTGCAAGACTGAAGGGGAGGAGCAGGTACACCTGTGCAAGACTGAAGGGGAGGAGCCGATACACCTGTGCAAGACTGAAGGGGAGGAGCCGGTACACCTGTGCAAGACTGAAGGGGTGGAGTCTGTACACACCTGTGCAAGACTGAAGGGGAGGAGCCGATACACCTGTGCAAGACTGAAGGGGAGGAGCCGATACACCTGTGCAAGACTGAAGGGGAGGAGCCGGTACACCTGTGCAAGACTGAAGGGGTGGAGTCTGTACACACCTGTTTTCACCCTGCGATGCGATGCGATTTCTTGCAGTTGCCTCGCGGTCTGTGATTTGGTGTCGGTGTCAATAATAAATTAACGACACCCCAAAACAGATCGCAATACAACTGCAATGCGGTGCTGGAAACGCACAGGATTTGCAGCGTTTCCCGCACCGCATTGGTGTGAACTCGAGCTCAAGGTGACAACAGCCGCTAGCGTTTTTTTTTTTTTTTTTTTCGCAGTCCATTCCGGGAATTAAATTGTCACCTTGATGACATTGTATTTAAAAAAAAAATCAAAATAATAAACCGTAATGTTACACTTATCGGGGTATCGGGGGGGGGGGTTGCAGACACTGGAAGGTCAGAGACGGAAAACGGCGCCGGTCGCACGGAACGCAGAGCCTCCTATCTACCTCCAGGTTTCGCTCGCTGGATATTTAAGTGGAAAACTCCTAATGAATGGAAACTGCGATTTCAGATGAAAAATGTGTCAGTTTGGGCTAAATAGAGGGCCGATCAACCGCAGAGATTTATGTGCCGATGGCGGCAATGCGATCCAGCTGCTCGCCGGCAATTAGAAACACAATCTGCAGCGTTTACGGCTCCTCCAGGACCAACCAGATGTGCCGCTGCCGCCGTAGTCGCCATGTTCCTGCCAGTCCTGAGAGCCGTGACACCGTGTCGTCATGGAGCCCGTTCACACTTGTGCGACTTGCGGTCCAAAAACCCACCTCATGTTTCTCAATGAGCAGTGGTGTCCCGAGGCGGGGGCGGGGGGTGCGGCCCGCACAGGGTGACACCGACCACGCGGGGGGTGACACCGGACCCGCTCCACGAAAAGGTAAGTTGTAAAGAAAACCGTCGATCCTCGCAGGATGGATCATCGGATCTGCTGATTGGGGAGCAAAATGGATCGGAGCCCTCCTAATCTGGGATCAGCTAATTACTGTTTATGCTGGCCCAGCTCCCCCACCTCTCCTACTCCAGAATGAGTCAACTCCCTAGCACAGCCCCCTCCCTCCTTGCAGGTCATAGACCCCTCCTCATCTGGGATCAGCTAATTACCTTCTGTGCTGGCCCAGCAACCACCACCCATCCATCCTTGCATGTAACAGCCCTTTCCACATCTGGGATCATCTAATTACCTTCTGTGCTGGCCCAGCTCCTCTCACCAATCCTTCCTTGCATATTACAGTCCTCTCCTCATCTGGGATCATCTAATTACCTTCTGTGCTGGCCCAGCTCCTCCGCCCCTCCCCTTCTCTCCTTGCATGTAGGGTCCAATTCCTGTCTGTGCTGGCCCAGCTCTTCCATCCCTCCCCTTCTCTCCTTGCATGTAGGGTCCAATTCCTGTCTGTGCTGGCCCAGCTCTTCCATCCCTCCCCTCCCTTCCCTACAGGGTCAATGTATTGGAAGCTGCTGTTGGGAAAGCCGGCAACCTGGACAGGGGAAGATTAGGGTCAGATAGATAACTGCACTTTATTTCTGATTGCTAGCTCTTCGGACAATCGACCATTTCGATGACATTTTTTTGTTCCTGTTATGCGGGTTTATTGATGCCATTTTATTTTGCAGTCAGGTTTAGATTTTGCAGATTTCACGTCCCCCCCTCCCCCCCCCCCTACTTCTGGATCCTCGAGCCGCAACTTTACCGGCTTTAAATCTTTAGCAGACCTAATAGGATGCGATTAGCCGCCGCCCACTTACTTTGAGAGCAGAATGACGCAGTTCTGCGCCCGTCGGCCGTCAATCACAGACAGTTCTTTGACCTTCCGTGTAGACAGGTACAGATCCTCCATGGAGTCCATATCCTTCTGTGGGGAGAGAGACACAAAAAGGGTCAGAACACGAGCAACGTCGCACTTCTGCATGCAACGCACATCACGCCGCGTATGCACATTTCCCCGCAATGCCGCTCATGCTGGGTGGCGCCCCAACGTACGTAGAAACATAGAAAAGTGACGGCGGAAAAAGTCCGAGCAGTCCATTCATTGTGCCCATTTTTTGGGGGTTTTTTTTTTTTTTTTGCTTTTTTGTTTTTTTGTTTTTTTTTGTGTTTTTTTTGCTTTTCTGTTTTTGTTTTGATTTTTTTTTTTCTTTTTTTTTTTGCTTTTTTGTTTTTGTTTTTTTGTGGGTTTTATTTGGCTTTTTCATTTTTGTTTTGCTTTGTTGTTTTTTTTTTTGTTTTGGTTTTGATTTTTTGCTTGCGAGCTCCTATGGTGAATCTTAATGTGCCGCAATATTTATTCAATTATGTTAAATGAACACACACGAGGTTCACTGACACTAAACACTCATGCCGGCCATAGAAGGGTCGAACATCGGACGATTTTTCAAAAAAAAAAAAAAAATTGGCCGATTTTCGCACTGTTAGTGGGTTAATTGGTCGTCTGTTTTTCGGGTTTTTTGCACTTTGAGATTATCGGTCATGTTGGTTGTCCGATTTGGACGATCGGCCGATTTTCCTGGCAATGATGGCCAAATCGGCCGATTGTTTTATCAATAAAAAAAACTGGCGCATAACTGTGACCTGCAAGGGACAGAAGTTATGGGGTGAACTTTATGATTTAGTCGGCCGATATTTTAAACCGTTGGTGGTAACGTCGGCCGACCGAACGACCGATTTTTTTTTTTTTGAAAGATCGGCCGATTTTGACCCGTCTATGGCTGCATTACACCTATAATAGTGCAAATAACTGAATTAAAATAATAAATATGATCATTCTTATAGTGATCCCGTGTGATTATAAAACATGTGAATGAGATGACTTCTAACACGGATACGTCACACGGCCCTGGACATGCCGCCAAGCCGGAGTCCTCCTTTAGCCACCTTCCGCTGGATGCTGGAACAGCGCCCCCTGTGACCGCCATGGTGAATGTTCGCCAACAGGATCACCTGTTTCATATTAGTGGCGGAGTCAGAGGAGCGTTCGCCATGAACACGTTCCAGGCCGCCTCCGGCTCGCTCCCCGTTATTCGTGTTCTCTTTTTGTTTTGTAATACTTTCCTGAGAAATCCGAAGAGGTCGGTGCAGGAATTCGCCTCGCCGCACTCCCAGACGGGAGAGGTCAGAAACACGCCCCGCTGCCGGGCGGGAGAGGTCAGAACACGCCCCGCTGCAGGGCGGGAGAGGTCAGAACACGCCGCGCTGCCGGGCGAGAGAGGTCAGAACACGCCCCGCTGCCGGGCGGGAGAGGTCAGAACACGCTGCCGGGCGGGAGAGGTCAGAACACACCATGCTGCAGGGCAGGAGAGGTCAGAACACGCCCCGCTGCCGGGCGGGAGAGGTCAGAACACGCTGCCGGGCGGGAGAGGTCAGAACACACCATGCTGCAGGGCAGGAGAGGTCAGAACACACCCCGCTGCCGGGCGGGAGAGGTCAGAACACGCCGCGCTGACGGGCGGGAGAGGTCAGAACACGCCGCGCTGCAGCGCGGGAGAGGTCAGAACACGCCGCGCTGCAGCGCGGGAGAGGTCAGAACACGCCGCGCTGCAGCGCGGGAGAGGTCAGAACACGCAGCGCTGCCGGGCGGGAGAGGTCAGAACACGCCGCGCTGCCGGGCGGGAGAGGTCAGAACACGCCGCGCTGCAGGGCGGGAGAGGTCAGAACACGCCCCGCTGCCGGGCGGGAGAGGTCAGAACACGCCGCGCTGCCGGGCGGGAGAGGTCAGAACACGCCGCGCTGCCGGGCGGGAGAGGTCAGAACACGCCGCGCTGCAGGGGGGGAGAGGTCAGAACACGCCGCGCTGCAGCACGAGAGAGGTCAGAACACCAACATCAATCTCCGCACATTCTGTGCCGCACTAGATGGATCACGTCAATACACAACTCCAACCTACAGGGGTGCTGCTGAGCAAAAGAACCTGCCGTCTACAGATGTGAATGCAGCCCATCCATGCAAGGTCCATGATACAATGTAACAGTGAACGGAATGTAGATCCATGATACAATGTAACAGTGAACCGAATGTAGATCCATGATACAATGTAACAGTGAACGGAATGTAGGTCCATGATACAATGTAACAGTGAACCGAATGTAGGTCCATGATACAATGTAACAGTGAACCGAATGTAGGTCCATGATACAATGTAACAGTGAACGGAATGTAGGTCCATGATACAATGTAACAGTGAACGGAATGTAGATCCATGATACAATGTAACAGTGAACGGAATGTAGGTCCATGATACAATGTAACAGTGAACGGAATGTAGGTCCATGATACAATGTAAAAGTGAACGGAATGTAGATCCATGATACAATGTAACAGTGAACCGAATGTAGATCCATGATACAATGTAACAGTGAACGGAATGTAGGTCCATGATACAATGTAACAGTGAACGGAATGTAGGTCCATGATACAATGTAACAGTGAACGGAATGTAGGTCCATGATACAATGTAACAGTGAACGGAATGCAGGACTGTGATACAATGTAACATTAAACTGACTGTGAATATTTCTCTGCAGTGTCCAGACACAAAGCCTGTAGACATAACCGCCCATTGATTTATCACTGCAGATTACTCGGCAGCATTCATTTCAGACATAAAAGATCTGTCTGCACTGTTTTCTTAGCACACATAAAGAGACGTGTGTGTCATTGTTGTGGGCTAACATACATATCAGAATGATCCTTGGCACCGCCATACACGTCACAACTCCACCTCCAACCAAACACGTGCAGAGCGCAGGGCCCTTCCGACCAAACACATGCAGAGCGCAGGACCCTTCCGTCCAAACACGTGAAGAGCCCAGGACCCTTCCGACCAAACACGTGCAGAGCGCAGGGCCCTTCCGACCAAACACGTGCAGAGCGCAGGGCCCTTCCGACTAAACACGTGCAGAGCGCAGGGCCCTTCCGACTAAACACGTGCAGAGCGCAGGACCCTTCCGACCAAACACGTGCAGAGCCTAGGACCCTTCCGACCAAACACGTGCAGAGCGCAGGGCCCTTCCGACCAAACACGTGCAGAGCGCAGGACCCTTCCGACCAAACACGTGCAG